CTGCCTTACAGGGGTGCGGGGGGGCACGTTATGGGGGACGCAGGGCAGAGGTGGGGGGTGCGGGGGGGGCACTGCAGACCCGGGGGTCCCGGGGGCCACCACTCGTGCCCGTTCGTGCAGTCACGGACCACGCACACGCACACGGGCTCGGACTCAGTCCTGCACGATCACCCGTGTTGGCACACACACACACGTGTGTCCTGACACACACGTCCCCAACACACATGCACGTGTGTCCTGACACACACACCCCCAACACACATGCACGTGTGTCCTGACACACACACCCCCAACACACATGCACGTGTGTCCTGACACACACACCCCCAACACACATGCACGTGTGTCCTGACACACACACCCCCAACACACATGCACGTGTGTCCTGACACACACACCCCCAACACACATGCACGTGTGTCCTGACACACACACCCCCAACACACATGCACGTGTGTCCTGACACACACACCCCCAACACACATGCACGTGTGTCCTGACACACACACCCCCAACACACATGCACGTGTGTCCTGACACACACACCCCCAACACACATGCACGTGTGTCCTGACACACACACCCCCAACACACATGCACGTGTGTCCTGACACACACACCCCCAACACACATGCACGTGTGTCCTGACACACACACCCCCAACACACATGCACGTGTGTCCTGACACACACACCCCCAACACACATGCACGTGTGTCCTGACACACACACCCCCAACACACATGCACGTGTGTCCTGACACACACACCCCCAACACACATGCACGTGTGTCCTGACACACACACCCCCAACACACATGCACGTGTGTCCTGACACACACACCCCCAACACACATGCACGTGTGTCCTGACACACACACCCCCAACACACATGCACGTGTGTCCTGACACACACACCCCCAACACACATGCACGTGTGTCCTGACACACACACCCCCAACACACATGCACGTGTGTCCTGACACACACACCCCCAACACACATGCACGTGTGTCCTGACACACACACCCCCAACACACATGCACGTGTGTCCTGACACACACACCCCCAACACACATGCACGTGTGTCCTGACACACACACCCCCAACACACATGCACGTGTGTCCTGACACACACACCCCCAACACACATGCACGTGTGTCCTGACACACACACCCCCAACACACATGCACGTGTGTCCTGACACACACACCCCCAACACACATGCACGTGTGTCCTGACACACACACCCCCAACACACATGCACGTGTGTCCTGACACACACACCCCCAACACACATGCACGTGTGTCCTGACACACACACCCCCAACACACATGCACGTGTGTCCTGACACACACACCCCCAACACACATGCACGTGTGTCCTGACACACACACCCCCAACACACATGCACGTGTGTCCTGACACACACACCCCCAACACACATGCACGTGTGTCCTGACACACACACCCCCAACACACATGCACGTGTGTCCTGACACACACACCCCCAACACACATGCACGTGTGTCCTGACACACACACCCCCAACACACATGCACGTGTGTCCTGACACACACACCCCCAACACACATGCACGTGTG